CTATACCAGGGGTGCACATCACTATGGTGATGTAGCTGACAATCATATGTAGACCCACGTAACTGCTATGTCACCAGAGCGTACCATACGGCAACGTAGCATGTCACTATGTCGCCGTAGGGACATATGTATATGCGGCCTGTGAGACCTGTATCATCTGAAACCTGGAATAGTTCTCAGTATTTTAGTGCTGTTTTTAATGTCTATATTTTATTCACATTTAAACATATGCATTACTGATATAACATCTGCTGAGACATCACATAATGAGTGTATTCTATCTTCATGTGCTATCTGTATTTTTATGTTCAACAGAAAAGAAATGTCTATCTTCAAACTTTGTGTAAAAATCTCTTTGAAATAATGAAATTATTATTCCAATGAGCAAGCTACTTTAAGATCAGGATTTCTTTAAGTATCTTTCTGATATACAGAATCTTAAGGTGTGGTCAATCTGTGCTCAGCATCAATGAAGGGAGCAAAAGTGATGTTATGCCACCTTATGTTCCCTCTTCACCTAATCCTGAGACAAGCCAAAGGTCAATTTGGTGTTCACCATAATTTTGAGTGGTCTTTGGGTCTGCTCACAGGTATTGTGGATTGAATAGGCCCCCAATGAGGCTGTTCTATCATTGGGAGAGCACAAGAGTACTCCAGAAATGACATCGTGCTCTGACAAAATAGAATGGAAATTTCCTAATAGCATCCTGACACCTCATGGGATTACCCCTCACTGGGTGTGTCTACACAAGACACTATGGTACTGTAGCGTCTGTTGGCAAAAACCATGATGCTACCATGTCACCAAAGCAACGTGCTCCCTCATTGTAGTGCATTGCTACAGCAACATAGCAGCCAAAAATAATCATATGTGGCCAGCATAGCACAGTACAGGCTGTTACTGCGCCATCTTTTAGTACTTCCAAAAGGAAGTACTAAATGACAGCACGGTAACAAAGGCACCATACGGCCACATGTAGATATGCCCAGTGTTTGGAAATCCTCAATCAGCCAGCATAGCCATTTTTCTACCTCCTTTGTACTAGCAGAAAATTTGATATAATAAAGAATTAGTAAATATTCAAGGCATCTGAAAAATTCCTTTACTGACTTCTTTCAGACTTGAGGAGGGGAGTGGAGTGGACGCAGGTGAGATGGGTACTTCAGTTTTATAAGAATGGTTTGGGTTTGGGTTTGGGTTTGGGTTTGGGTTTAAGGCAACCAAAGATAAGAACAGCAAGCCAACCACTTTCCTAATTAGGGACCCCCGTAATTATTCTTGATGCTACTGCTAAGAGTATTGTTAAAGATTGACCTTCATCACTGGAATTCACTTATGTTTGCACAAATAACTGGAAACATTCCTGCCAGACTTTATCAATCCCAAACTTTCAAATGAGGCACTGGAGTATTTTGTTCTGACCTCATAATTTTCTGTCCTTGTCTATTTGTATTCACCGGTCCAATGTGAAAAAACTATACGGAGTTCAGTATTCAACAAGTGGCTCCAGCAAAGATTCTATCTTATTATATTATCCTCTGCTGTACAGTTTTCAGAATGAATACTATATTGGAAGATATCAAATCATAAAAAATGTCCATAGTTACCCAAATTTCTGACATCTGCCTCAAGCATGAAAGAGAGAAATTTGTCTGAGGGACTACTAAACACTGATTACCAAACAAAAGAAACACTCAGGTAGAGACAAATTTGTATTCCCATTAAGTTTTCCTATCCTAACCCCAAAATTGTATTTTTCTTATAATTTTAATGCTCTCGAGCGTCTTTTTATTTAAAAGTATATCAAATTAATCCTTCTTCCAATTCATAAACTTCCCCCCAACTATTAAGCCTTTATTCAAATAAACCTACCTGTTCAATATGCCTGCTGTAACCTGTTTAAGGCTCCCATCTGTACTCATAAAGACTCATTCATTGCCTTGTGTAATACATAAACTCAAAAGAGAACCAAATAAAGCATTTTTACAATCTAAATTAAACAACTTTGTGTAATAAAACCAGAAATGGCTCTTTCCTAACTAGGCTGGAAGCCCTAAGGGTCTTGTATGCATTTATTTATTTATTTATTTTATTTCCATCAAATTGGCCTAGGAGGATCTGAAAGTGAACTGAACCAAAGCTGACTCAATTGTTTCCCTTTTTCTGCCTGCTCACTAAGACTGAAGGCAGCCCAGGCAGATTTGGCTGCATTAAAGTAAATGCTCACCACACACTTCTTCTGAAATGCAGCTGCGTAATCTCCCTTTCCCTTTTCTATCTCAGTCCCTAACCTCTCTGGTGCTGAGAATTTGTCCTTACTGTATGTGGTTCTTGCAAATACCTAGGGTTAATACATATTGTGATTCATTAGCTTCTCTCATTTGTATGGTTTCCCCAATGGAAACATTTGCCCATGTTAGAATCTAGGGACATTCCATGATTACTCTACACTGTGGAACAGTAAGATGCTTTCAAGTGCATGCCATATTCAGGCTTTAGTGTAAAATAAAATTAAACCATCCACAAAGTGACAGTCTCTGCAGATAAATAGCACCTTTTTATTAAGCACCAAAAGAGGAAGGGTTGGGTGTGCATGCCAGAGAGAGACCTTAATCAGAAAACATTTTTTCACTAAAAATGCAAATTGGTTCAAATATTTAGATCAAAACCAACTGTTTAACAGGACAGCCCCTATTACTAGCTACATGCTTCTGTGACATTAAAAAAAAAAAACTTTAACCAAAATATAACTGCTTGTTATTTCACTGGTATTACTAACCTAGCGAAATTACAAGCACCAATTCAGATAGTAAAAGAGTAAGCAGAGTTAAGTATTTATTTCAAGCATGGCAATTTATCTTCCATTTTGCAGAATCACTTACAGGTATTTATTTTAAATACACTCCACATTCAGTATAAGTCTACAATGCTCTTAAAAGATTATTGTACTGTTTTGATTCCCTTCTCATAGCATAAAAGAACATGTAGCCTTTTTACATTATATGATCAACTTTTTGACAGTGCAGGGCCAGCATAGCTAATGGAATAATAGCCTGCAGGGTCCAGCTAAATGATATACGAATATAATCAACCTTTGAGATGACTATTCAAAAGTAATCCCTTTAGCTTTCAACTGCAACATATATTTCAACAAGGCAAAGCCATATGAAGAAATTCTCTGCAGACTCCACTGATACAATATGGCCTTCATATCCCCACAGTGTGTTTGCTGCTCATAGTGAGTTTTAAATTTAAGGTAATGGCTACTGTATATTCATGTGAGCATAGAACAATACCTTTGATTTGTTGGGGAAATGTTCCATTAGCTACCAAGGGCCCTATTCAGTAAACTTTGACACAACCCTTATATACAGTTTACTGCTTACTCTAAATGGAATGTGCCTGATAAAAATGCTTTGCATGCCCAAATTATACAAATTCATTAATCTTTATATTCATAAAACCACCAAGTACAACTGCCTCTATTTCAGCTATACCATTCAGGATACATAGCTAAAAATGCAGGCCAACTCTGCTTTAAAAGAGCATTACATTAATTTCCATTTATTAGCATGGAAAACAAATTGAGAATCTTCTGTAAGTATAGGATATGCATTGTTGATGGTGATATTGTTTGCTGAGGTATCTTTATGTCTTGCCCACTGTAGTCTATATACCTGAAAACATTTAAAATGCAAGTCATTTTAGGTGAGAATAATGGGTCATGTCTCCTCTCTTGGATTAAGCCAAACTGACAACACAGCATATCCTGTCAAACCATGGACAAGTTTTATAAAGAATATGCTGAAGGACCTGTATATAGAGATGACAGACAATGCAATATTTTCTAATACTGAGCAAAATTATATGAAATACATTGTAACAAATAGAATCATGTGTAATGAAAATGTAGTATGTTGCCTAGATTTGGGCTTTGTGTAGCATGGGCAATGGGGTAAGAACTCAATCAGTGTACACAGTGGTAACAGCTGTTTCAAATGTGTGTGAACACAATAGTACCGTTGCTGAATTTTCTTTTATATATTGACTTTGATTATATTAGGTATTTCAAGTATATTAGTAGCAAATTTACTGCAAGTGTGAGTATGCTAGTGATCGGTTTGTTTTTTAACCTTGGGTTTGGTTTGGTTTGTTGCTTTACCTATAGACACTGATATAAATGAGTCTGTTGGCTTATGTACATTTTCATGTTGCTTTGTAACCAGCTCTAATTCCTTCCTGTTTTCCTCCACATACCCCACCCATTCACTATTCAAATTTTCCTTTCTTTTTTTTCTAAAAATGTTCTTCTCAATCATGAGATAGCAAACCTGTTGCAATGTCTCTTTTTTTTCAATTTAGTACCCATTTATTAAGTGTCAGCTGTCTGTCTGCACTGTAAAGCACACATGCGCATGCATAAAAAATACCTTCCCTGCCCCATTGAATATGCTATCTGAAAGACAAATATTATCCATTTCACTTTCATTATAAGCTTCTCAGTTCTTGGAATCTGAGTGAACTCCTGTCCTCTCTGAAGTCAATGAGAGTTTAAGCGTTGACATCATTGGGACCTGTATTTTACTCTCTTTCTCTAAATTTCCATGTACACTAATGATGCTATACATATAAGGGACCATACTTTGAAGAGGTCAACTCTGCTAGGCACATAATGAAATAGCTGCTTTTTAAGAAGTGCTCAGCACTAAGCAGCTCCTGTTGAGACTAGTGGGACCTACCAGCTACTAAGTTGTCCTGAGAACTTGCCAAACAGCAATCATAATATCCTATATATATAATGTATGCCTGTATGTCTCGATAAGGTTCTCTCTAGGCCTACACATCTACGATTCTTTGATACAAGAACTTCTAATAGGTTTTTTTTTTCTTCCGTGGCTGTATAATATACTGGGGCTTGTTCACATAAGCCTTTAGGTTTTCTTAAGGACTAGTATGGAAGTTGTTTGTCTAAAGTGCTAATACACATTTTTGTTAACAGAACTTCCTAAAGAGGCAAGTGTTTTGGAGACCCTTTGAACCACTTCTGAAGACACCAGTTCAAGAACTTCTCTGGTACTGTATATCCCCCTATTCTAAACTGTATAGGCCCATATCTATAGTGTCTAGTCTCACAAATTCTGTAGGTGTCAGTGGATGTTGTTTATGTTTAACCTGATTTTTTTATAAGTAGCTAGTATTGCTTCTAGTTTTACACTGTCCAAATACAATATTTTCCCACCGTATAAATCTGACAAAGTCACACTTTTTTCCTGTTAGCATCCAACTGGATTTTCACTACTGATCAGTTAATCTACTTTTATTTTAGGAGCATAAGCCTCCAAGCTAAAACCAAATCCATTAACAAGCTGCTGAGTCCAAAAATAAAACTCCAAGCTTACATTGTATTTACTTACAGCAATATCATTTGCTATTTTTTATTACAGACAATTCCAGGTAGAGAAAAAGCTGCCAAATCCTTTTGATGAAATCAAGAAGATCCTCGTTAGACAACACACACCAAAGTTTGAATTTCAGCTTTGAATTTAAACAGGAGCATAGTTTGGCACTGCAAGCACCCAGACATCAGAAGTCCTTGCATGAGTGGTGTCATGTGCGATATGTGTCACAGTGGCTTTTATCTTAAATACCTTGTGTTGTTGAAATAAAATAGAGAATGAAAGGAATGATTATGAAAGAAAGTGAGTTACTTTGTATTTACGTATTACACACCCTTTCCTCCAATGTGCTGTGCATCTCCTGTGAGGTCCTGCTGAGCATCCTTAACTCCTACTGGAGACAATGAAAGTGGAAGCTGCAGACATGCAGCGCCTTGTAAGGTTCTAAATGCATGTGATAAATATACATTAAAATCCAACATATCTTTTTTTCAGTAAAAGTCAATGCAGTGCTTGACCCCTTTTACCTGGCACTTTCATCCAAGGTTAACAACTGTGCTTAGCAGCTGCGTGTCAGCTCAGTTCTAATGCACTTAGAATAGATCCAACCTGGTTGGTGCACTTTCGCATGGTTTAGATCTCAGTTATAATACAGTTTGGCGCCAGCCAGGTTCAGACACAACAAAGTTTGTTGAAGCTGTGCTTAAGCATAGTCACAAAACTCTGCTGAAAGCCCTAAAGAAGCCAGGCATTAGAAATGCTGCTTACTCCCACAAATGACACATTAATCTAAACAATAGGCTAACATAAGTACATCTACTAGTGCAAATGTTTCCTATTGAAATATTTTTTTTACATTTTCAAAGCTCCCTTTTCAAGTGTAACCTTCACTTATTCAAGTAACTAATGGTTTAAACCAGTGATATGCAACATATGGCCCGTGGCTGGATCCAACCTGCAGTATGGGGGATCTGTGACAAGCGGCTTGGCCCAACACATCTGCTTTCCTGCCCCATGCTGTGCAGCTGATCCCTT